TACGCGAGTGTAGTGCGGTTGCGATTAATTTCGGAGTGGATCTGTTTACGGTTCGGATTGGGTGAATAATTACTCTGTAAGAGAATTAAATTAGGCAGGAAACGGGCCCCGTGCAGAGGTCGGTGCTTTAGCACACGTACTCTCGCGCGGGTTCATGTAAATGGGCCCTTTGTGTGGTGCATAGTCTTGACTCTGCATACTCTGTGGCGGCAGCGCCACGTGTGTGGAGAGTGACGCGGTCGGGGCGTGTACTTGTGCCGGACAGCGGTCAATGCTGTGATAAATGCACTAAGTGCACGGGGTGCGCGGAGTAGCGTGCGCGGTTGCGGTGCACGAAAGTGAACGCGTGGCGGCGCGCGCCGCGCTCGCATGTGCACGACTGTTATGGCCGCGATGGCAGCGACTCCTGCTTGTGGTGACGTGTAGTGCCGCTTTGCATGCAACTGCTCGATTGGCACTGCTTGATTGCATGCGTAACTAATTAATTAGGTGCAGTGTTGGGGGCCGGCGGCGGTTGGCCAGCTACCCCTCCGTTTTTTGGAGGGACTCCGCTGCCCTTGCGGGGCGCCTGACGGGCTCTTGGGACCTGCGGTCTCCCCTTGCTATTGCAGCCAGAGTGGATGTCCTTGGGGTCCAGCGCTCTCTAACTCCTGCCCGCACGCGCTCTGTATCCGCTGCATCGGCTGGTCATCAGTACAAGGTAGGAGTTACGGGTACACCGTTGCCAGGGAAGCGTGAACCTCGCGCGGTTTTCCGACGGAAAGACTCGCGCTCTTGTATCATTCTTTAAATGACACGTGGAGTTACTCGCGCAGAGATACTTTGGACAGAGTAATATCATCGTATGCAAACCTTGACATTTATATCTTAAAGTGCATATCGCATCTGAACGGGAGTGAAAAAGGCGCCCGCGCGTTGGGCGCACGGGTTGTTACGCGATTGACTTGACGCGGATATTGGCTGTGGAAATTCTTTATAAAGAAGTGCGTAAATAAGTGTAAAATAGACCCTGGCAATGTGTGATACTAGCTAGATACACATGGTTGCCTTATGCACGTCTGTACGGTGAGTGCGGCTATTGCACCGGGAGCCTGCACCCGTGCATTGACATTGATATACGGAGTTGCGCCTTTCGGCGCCGGCGGGGGACGTGCGAAGGACGAGCTGCGAATGGAGCCTGTCGACTGAAGAGCGGAGGTGCCGGAGCAGAGGAAAGGTGCATGCACGTGCCTGCATAAATAACTGTGCTCGTTCGCTGTGCTGTGCACTCTCGCGTGACTTCTTTGAATGTCCTTTATACTGCGTACGCGGATTCTATTAAGGAGAAAGCGGGAAATATACGTATACTTACAGTCGGATGCGTTCGCGAGGAAAGCGATATGGTTTTTGTGTCTGCATGGAGTATATCAATACTTTCTTTGACAACGCTGATTATGCTTAAACGATAGACACTTGTGTAAAACGAATTATTGACTGGGCGGTGGAAACTGCTTTACGCTTATCCTTTTCGGTTGTTAAATGCGCGTTCGATAGTCTATATGAACGGGGCTGCACCCCGAGAAAATCTCTCCGCCCTATGAGTGCTATAGGTGACAGGGGAGGTTATGGTGCCCGGGACAGATGTCTGGATACTGGCGGTAGCAGATGGATGACTGCTGCTTGATACCTTATGTTTGACTGTTGCATATGTGGTGTCAGCTCGCTGCTTTCTTTCATTTACCTATAAATGTTAAGAGGATCGTAGCTAGAGTACGTAGCTTGAGGAAATAATAAATCGTCGTACGGTCATGATATAAAGGAGAGAGACTAACCAGAAAGTGCCATATCAGTTAACTCGGGACGCGTATTTATTCATACCTGAATACATATAATAAGTGGTAGTCGTATTGCGGTGCCACTGCACCCGTGTACGAAGCGTAGGTTAAGGATAGGCAATAATAGGAAATAGTTAACGCGGAACACACAAGTAATGTACAGATGTCACGCTGCGGGGGCTCGTGTGCTGCTGCTGCGTCTGCATACACTGTGTAATCTGGAAACAGAATTAGAAAGTTAGAAATAGTAAATACTATTAATTTATGATAAACGGGAACTGAATACGACTTGTGGATATGATTTAAGTAAATCTTACCGGAATAAGTAATAAACGGTGTCCTCTGGTAGTTTATGGGAAGGATGCGATGTAACGCTGCGGGGATACGCATACTGATATTCTGCCGGAGCATGCTGTGTGACCTGGAAATAAGTTGAGGCATTGATTAGTGTTGTTTATGGTGAGTGGAAGTAAGGGTGCATTGCTGGCACGACTTAGGAATATTTAGATAAAGTGGGAAACAAGATTAGTGTTACCTGTTAGGTTATTGCCGGGATACAGTCTCATACGCCGGGGGCGAGCGCACTACTGCTGCGTCCGCATGTGCTGGATAGCCTGGAAGTATTGCCTGAAATGTTAAATAATAGTGTTATCAAATGACAGATTATGTAATCTAGGAAAATCTAAGTGGAATAGATAGTTAATAGATAAATAGAATTATCTGTAAGCCAGTTGTGGGGGTGGTGCCACGCTGCGGGGATGCAAACGTTGTCACTGCGCCTACGCACACCTGGAAATAATATTAGAGATATAGAGATATAGAGTATAGAGTATCGTAGTGATGACAATGCGAACAAGAGGTGACCCATAAACGTTACCTGACATTAGCGTAGATCATAGATTGGCACTGTGGGGATGCATGTGTTGCTGCTGCGCCTATGCGTACTGTATAAACCTGAAAATAACACAGAGATATTGACTGGGTCAACCTAGGATTAGTGGACTGCAGGGACTCCGCTACGCTGGTGTGTACTGCATAACCTGAAAGAACATTAGAGGTATTATTTATTCTTGAAATAAATAGGAACGGTACGATTGAAAATGATTTAAGAAAGTAGATATTGAAGAACCATTACCTGGTAATCAATTCCGGGGTACAGAGTTGCACTGCGGAGCTGTATGCGCTGTTACTGCATCGGTGCGCACTGCATGCATAATCTGGAACAGCATTATTA